ATTATTTACACATTCTTCTATATATTTAATTTTACATATTCTTTAAAGGAAATTCTTTCATTTTTTTCTTTTGCTTACTTATTTTTAATTTATCGGTTGGCAGAATATTTTCATTTTGCTGTTAAATTATGCATTTACCAAATAGAAGATTGCATTTAATGTTTCATAACATTAATTTATTTTGTTAACCGTTTGTACCTTACATGTAGTGTAGGTAGGTATATAATGCATTTTTCATTTAAGAAATAAAACTGGGTCAGTGGGAAGTTACAATATGTAGTACAAATATATTTGTTCTATATATTTAGAAAAAATAAGAAAAATTAGAGAAAAAATTTTCCAGTTTGCCTAATGCACAATGCTTCACAATATATTATTGATTTTCTTTAGAAAAAAAAATAAAGTTTTATGATATCTTGATCTTTTTTCATGCTCTATTCTTTATGTTTTTTAATAAAATATATGGAATTTTTTAAATTACATATTATAAAAATCAACTATTAAGTTGTATTAAACAAGTTGATAAAGAGAAGATAAACGGTTCATTTATAATTTTGTTATTTTCTATATTTTCCAATAGAAACCTAAAGCAACTTTTTCATAAACACACATATAAACTAAAAGAGAAGAAATAAAGTAGGACTAAAACAATGGTTTGTATAGTAGCACTTTTTTCTTTCATAAGTGGAAATATTGGTTTTAAAGACAATTTACTATACATTGTTTAAATTACTTTCATTCATGCACCGAAATGTTTCAAATAATTGCATACATTTAGGATGAGCAGGAAAAACTATTTGAAAAAACAACTAATTAAGTTAAAATAAAAAATTATATTTCCCAATGGCTTGCATCTACTTATATTATAGAAATTTGTAAAAGCTTGGTTTCGAAAATAAATTACACCGTATGTCAAAATTTACGAGAACTTGGAAGCGAATGGAGGCGGAAAAAAATTTTCGTCTAGCGAAATAAACTATTCATTTTAAAATCTGCTCTAGCATCTTCTTAACACTTATCTTAAAATATTTTTTTTAGAAAACTGCTAAAAAGTACGCTATCTATAAATTTTATCAAATGGGTGTTGGCCAAGTACAAGACGGGCAAACATAGAATTTAAAAATTAATGAAAAAATTTATACCTTATACTAATAGAGTAACTTTAGAAATTCTATAAAATTACTATAATTGGTTCTTTCTTATTGCAGTACTTAATGCATTTCAAGCCCTTTATCATGATACTATTTCTTCACTTTGGTCCAAGTAAACTATCTCTGTTTCTAGTTTATGCACAGTGTCTCTCGTTGAAATCAATAACGAAATGATTTTTACATTCTTAAACATGAAGGAAATTGTCACATTCAAAATTATGTGAAATTTTTGTACTTTCCTATAAGTTTAATTCTTTTTTCTCGGATCTAGTGGTAAGTAAATTTTAGTAAATTTTTTTCATTAACACTTTAATTGCATACACAACCATATTAACATTTATTCAATGGACTAACGTGTGTAGCTATTAAATCGTTTGTCTACATATATAAATTGCTTAAAATAATTTACCCAATCACGAATAAGTTCTCTTTTATTAAATTCAGACTACAACAACCGTGAACCAAAATAAAGCAATTATACAAAAATTCCAATGGGATAGGTTTGGATACGTTGATACAGAATGTTAAAGCAAGTTCACAAAATCCATTAAAATTTTTCAAATTCACATGCTTCTAAAAAGTAATTAAAAAAAACCACTGGTTGAAAAAGACTTAATTTCTTCAAATCAAAAAAAAATATCTTACCATTTCATCTCTTCTAATCGAAAAAATAATAAAAATTAACCTGCTGCGTTCATCTTCACGTTAAAAATATAAAAAAAAAATTGGGATTGCTTCTGAAACTTTTTATAATTCTTATTCAATCCTCAATTTTATAGTGTTAAAATTTTAACTGTTAAAAAAAATAAAAATTATTATAATGCCATCATAATTATACAAAGTAAAAAAAAAATCAATAAATTTAAAACACGAAAAATGTGTGCGAAAATTATAAAAGCAAAAAATGGAGCAATCGAAAAAAAAAATGTAAAGAAAAAATAAAATAAGAAATCTTGTCTATCTCTTCCGACATAATAAATGCTTGACATTTAAAACCAGTCTCTATAAATTGATAAGCAAAAGTATTTTGAATGTGTTGAAGAAAAGACTCTTCGTTTACTCTATGATGGAGAGAAAATACGTCGTATTATACCGCTACAAAATCGAAAAAGAGAGTTGTTTAAGAAATTCTTCTCAAAATAAATATTTTGAGGTTAAGACGGTAATCGGAAAAGGTTATTTACAAGTCAAGTGACTTGTTATTTTGAGGTTGACTCAAAATGCTCATAATTTTGAAATTTCAATTCTCTGAAGAAAGAATTAAAGTAGAATTAAAAATTGAAGTTTCAAACACACCATAAGCACTCTCAAATTATTAAAAAAAAAAACAATTACTTCTTTATGTAATATGTGGAAATCATTATTATTTGCCAATTGCCACAAATATTTGATTTAGGCATGATTTAGAAATCAAATATTGTTCTGCAATAATTTTAATACCCTAAAGTTATACGGAATTAAATTTTAATTTTATTGCCTTCAAAACGCTAAATTTTTTTTTTAATTTTTTATTTTCTTACTATTTTAATAACATTATCAAAGTTAATTTAGGAACCGTAAACGGTAATTTATTGTTCGATTATTGTTCGATTACTCTTTATTAAACGATACAAATACACTTTTCAAAATTTTTTCTATGAAGTTGTTTATTAAGATATTTTTACACATGACTTCATGGTCGAGCTATTCATATACATATGTATATATATCTATTATATATTTAGCTCTAGATATTTTAAATTTTTCCCAAATAGATAATTGTGTTACGCGTGTTAAAATATGTTTTGTTGCTTCTATATGTTTGCATTATTATATTTTATATTTAAACTCTTAATATAAAATTTTGGCATAGAATACAAAATTAGTTTAAAGTATTCAACTGAGCTCCAAAAATGAAAGAAAATTTAAAGAAAATTTGTATTATCTAGGTTATGATTAACATTTATTTAACATTTTACACAAACAATTGTCAATGGCATCTTAGTACATCAAAATGCTTTAATATAAATCACCTATGTTTAGTGATTTGTTACATTAGTCTAACATCAACGTGAAACTTTTCTGTCACCAATTGAATTCTCGTAGAACTGATTTTCATGAATACCTAAAAAAAATCAAATTTTTATAAAATTTATAGCCACTTTATATATATTTAAGTTTTTTTTTTTTTATCTCACATTTAGCAATATGAAATTATTACTAGAATTTTTAAGTTAAAGTCAAATTGTTATACAATATTAAATAATTAATAAGAGAACACTCTGTACGAGCTTAGGCTCTTTTTAGAGAATTTTTTGAAATAAATAAATAAATAAATAAATATGCAATACAATTTTCCAGTTCAACTTTTTGAATAGTTTTGAATATGTTTGACTATATATTCTTATCACTTTGTACCATCAAACATCTTTTATTTCTCTGCTACATCCATTACATTTAAGATTGCATAGTAATTAGAGTACTTTACAAAAATTATCGGGATTTGTATTAATTTTAGAACCAAATTTCTAATAATAAAACATTATTTATTAACTACTGCATTTATTTACTTCAATTACATTATTATAATTATTTAATTAATTAAATAACAATGATTTTTTTTATATTTATATTACAGGAAAACAACAAAAAAATTTCACCACACCTAAAGAACGCCAATATACTAAATATCACAATAAAATACGAGCGCAATAAATAAAATTAAATGGAAAATTCAAAAAAAAAAAAAAAGGAATCTACTTTTAAAAATTGCGGCTACAAAAAAAATATTCTATTAATTTATTAAAAAGAATAAATTAAAAGACAAACAACAAAAAAACTGATTAAAATTCACCTCTAATATTTTTATTTATTTTATAAAATTTAATAATTTTACTTGTTAATTTAATAATCATAATTTTAAAAGAAAAACTCATATACTTACATATACATATGTATGTATATGTACGTACAGACATGCATTAGTTGCATATGTGTATGTCTATACATTAATATGTTTAATAAATTTCTAAATATGATTAAATTTTATTTAAACTTTTTAAAAATTAAGTATATTTATTATTAAAATTGCATCAGTTAGCACAATTAAATCCCGTGGTTACCATATACATATAATACATATTTTAATATATGTATACATACATACATACATTTTAAATTTTATTATAAACATTGTGAACAAGTGAAAGTTTAATTCAAATTTTTTTTTGTTTTTACTTTGTTTTTATTCTCTAACAGTAAAATAATAATTTAATAACATTGACAGATAACAATATTCGTATATATATATATATATATATATGTATGTTTGTGTATGCAAATGTGTACACACTTTATGTATAAGCCTGTGCGCGCCCGTAACAGAACGCAATAATAATTCAATTGAGTATATGTACAGTGTACACACATTATAACAGAAAATGAATTTTGAAAAGAAGTGAAAATTAAAAGTAAATAAATAACATTAATAAGAAGAAAATAAGAAAATAAAAAATACAAGTAAAAAAAATAAAAGTAAAATTAAACAAAATTAAAATATTGAAACAATAAAGAAATTTAAAAAAAAAATGGTATATAAAAAATAAAAAGTGATTTTATGCTAATAAAGGTTATTATTTAAACATGCATGCACAAACACACTTTGCTTTATAATTTTCATACATTCATAACACAATAATTGTACTGTTATTGTTATTGTTTTTTTCTTTTGTTTTAATTCTGTTGAAAATCAATGAAGCCTTTTAATTATAAAATAATTATTGTAAGTGAAATATTTACATACATACATACTTAATAATAGTTTAATAATATTGTAAACAAAAAAAAAAGCCTGTGCTGATTGAAAACTCTGGTCGAAAATAGCGACAAAATAAAAAAATTTTATGCACCATTTGATTTAATAACTCTCTTAATCTCTCTTATTTTTATACTCTGTTCATAGTGTTCAATATAAATGTGTTGTAATACTTGTCATAACAATTGCACGTGAATTTTTTTTTTCTCTTTATTTTTCATTTTTCTTATTTTAATGTTTTCGGGTAATTACTCATTATCGATTATAAAATAAAATGATTCAAATAAAGTAAAAGTATTGAAAAAAAAAAACAAAAAGGAAATTATAAAATAAATAACAACAAAAAAAAAAAATACGAATTAAAATTATAACATTAAAGAAAAAAAAAAATAACATTATGGTTACATGTAAAGTGGATTCAGCTGTTGTTCCAAAAATGGGACGTAATCGTAAAACATCAAGTACATCATCTGGTTTTCGATTATTAGATAACGATCAATTGGATAATGTGTCAAGTGTTAGCCGTAATTCAATTTATAAAATCAAAATTGATGCAATGTTTGATGACACAAGGTAATTAATAAATTTTTTATTTTATTTTTGTAAATTAAAGGAAATATACACACACATATAAATATAAGATTACGATGTATAAATATGTAAATGAAATTTTTTTTTAAATTAATTTATTAAGAATTTTAATATTTTCAATTACTTTATTTGATTACTTTTTATACTGCTTTATATAAAATAATGAGGAGAGAAGTAATTCTCTTATTTTCTCATTCCTTTGACATATTTTTAAAAAAAAAATTATCTTCATTCTTCATATCCTTCTGTCTGCCCATTTACCTGATTATAAAACTCTTTTACAATGTACTCAAATTAACAATTATTTCAAAGAATTTTTTCGCTCGGTTTTAGCTTATACATTTTTCTCCTGTACGACATCTTCGATGTTTCTTAATTTTTAACAGTTTCAGATGATCATTAAATTTTAACAGGATTTTGAAAAATATTTATTTTATTTGACTGTAGCACAAAATTTCATTTTAATTCTTGCTTAAATAGTACAACGCGTACGTTTTAACTCTAAGTCTTAACAAAAATTATATCTTATACACAATATTGTTTTCTGACCAATTTTAACCTCTTTAGCTACTTTAAAAAATTAAAGCAACCTCTTTCTTTCTTATATACTAGCACATAATTAATTCCTTTGTATTTTTTGATTTTCTTATACGTCTTCTATTTAAAGCAAATTTTAATTTCGTATTAAATAAAATTTCATACAAGGTTAATCTATAGTATCTAATATAGAGGTACTTTTCAAAAATATAATAAGGTAACATTATTCTATTGAATTTAAAAAAAACTCTAGTTACAGAATTAAAATATAAACGAAAGTTAACTTTCCTAAATTATAATTGGAATGATTCATCAAAAATATTTAAAAGTAAAATTGAAATTTTATTTTTTAAATAATTCAAAAATTAAAATTATGAAGAGTGAAAATGAAATTAAAATATTAAAATTTTCAATTATTAATGATTTTTAACTTAATGCGTACATTAGAAAGTTTTCTTAATTGTTGGTATATTTAGAGACAAAAAATAAAAAATTTTTGAAAAATTAGACCAAATTTAAGTTGAAAACCAATTTTTAAAGCGTATAAAATGAATTTAAATTAATCACATTAAAGTGTAAAATTTATTAATATTATTTTAAAAAATCTTCTTCCATTAAACTTAGATTATTTACTTTCCCTTATATTAAATTTGTTTCCACAATCTTATTAAAAAGTAATTAAGAATAATTATCAAGAAATTCACTTAATGAGCACATATGAATTTTTTATTTTCTAATTATGAAAATTTAAAACTTTTCACTACAAAATTCAAAATAAAAAACAAATTTGTATGTAAAATATTTAAATTTCTCTCTTAATTCTTTTATTTTGTAAAGTTAAAAATTTTTTGTTCATTCCATATTTTAGAACACTTTTAAATTGTTATATAGTACGATTACTTTCATTAATTTTGAGTACATTAAAAATTAATTTTAAATTAATAAACACACTAAATTTATAAATAACCTTCCCGACTCCGAAATTCTATTAAGAGTAATTCTTATCTTAAAAATATAAACAAGCTCTGCCTCATAAAAACAGAGCAACAACAGAGAACAACAGAGTTTTCGAACTGATTACTAATACAAACTATATCTGATATATAAAATATTTATAAAAGATATAATTATTTTTCTAAATTTAAACAATTCAGAAAGTTTTCGACACAATGTGTACGTTGCTTTTGAAGCAACAGAGTAACTGGGCGCAGTCGCACTTTGTGGGTAAATAGAATGCTAATTTTATGCTTCACGAGTATACAAATTTCACATAAATATTCAGGATTTGCGTTTATATAAAAATCTTACCTTCTATATAAAAATATGAAGCTATGTCATGTAGACTTTTACACAAGAAATAAATTTCTAAATGAAATGAGTTAAAAATTTGAAGACACAGACCGGTGTGTTTCTTCAAATAATATTTAATAATATTGAAAAAAAAAAATAAAGAACTAACTTTTTTAGTATTAAATAATTTGATAATTTTAAATACTTAAAATACTTATACTTTCGAAACTTGCATTAAAACATTCAATTAACTAATTTTTTTTTATAAATTTACATCAAAATTTATTAAAAATATTTTATAAATTTTTGAATATAAAAAAAAATTATACAAATAAGTCAGATAACCATCTTGTTTGCATAATATTACGATTATATTGGTATAATTTATTAATAATCATTTTAAATTCTGATATTTTTAGACTTTAACGGTAAAAATATGAAATATAAAAAATGTAATAATTTTACAACCAGAAACAAATTAAAGAAATAAACTTCGTGTAAAACAGACATTAAAACAAATATCATGTTCAATCAGAAATTCGAAGCAACATGTAATTGGTTTATTAATATAATAAATAATAAGTTTTGTAAATATTTAATTATAAAAATATTCATTAAATATTTTATGAATAATAATGGTAATAGAAATTTATGGTGTTTAAAAAAAACATAATAATGTTTGGAATAAATCAATTTTAAAATAAATTAATTGATTCACTTACATTGGTTATTTTTAGCGCAATATTCATAAAGTTTACATCAATATTATATTTTAAGCCGTTTTACAATTTTTACAGTTACATACATATATAAAATCTGTTATACTTATCTGTACCGTAATGTATATTATATTATAAATAAATAGTGCATGATCCAAATGAAGTCATATACTATTAAGTGGTGGCACACTGACTTAAAGGGACGGGTTAGGGAGCGATTTGGCCTAGAACCAAATTATTCAAACCTGTGGGGACGTTTTCGAACGTGTTTCAGATCAAAATGCATGCCATTGAATTGTGCGTTCAGTTTAACCTTGAAAGATCGAGGACAGGATATTATCATTATGTCGGACAATCGGGTCGCTTTCAATGGTGCTCAATTCATTTTCGACAATCTCTGGAGCAGTGTGAAACTGTCTTGAAAAGTTTAATGTTCAGCAATCTGTACTAATTGTCAGGCTACACGATCGTAGAAAGACCTCAGCTGACATGCCGATCTAACATATCTCTCCTTGGCCCGAACCCTTTTGTCATATCGGACCACATGCTTTTGTTAGAAACTAAGAAAAGAAACAGAAAGAAGTCGATCAGAGGGCCGAAGACGGCTTACGGGTTATTATAACCAGAAGCGGTTCGAGGAAATTATAGCATTAAGCAAGAATCGAGTGGAAATTATCGGGATGTTATTGGGGCGCTGCAGAATTAGGGTTAAATTCAGTATGCTGGGTCTGGAAAGTAAATGATGCTCTCACTAAAGGGAGAAGGGAGATACTGAGAAACTTTGCTCTAATAAATAACTTATGTAAATAATATGACTCTCCTATAAAAAAAAACAGAAAGCCCCCCCAACATTTTCGCTAGAAATCAATTTTAATAGAATTTTGGGTAAATTCATATCACCATTTGCTACTCAAACTAAATTAAACCTGCTTCAATTATTATGAAGCAGGTTTAATTTTCATCAAGAATGAAAGTTTTCTTAGTCATTACGTTAAGAACAACTAAATAACAAATAAAATTTAAATATACTTAGCTGAAACTTTGAAACTAAAGAAACTAGATATACGAAGAACGCATAATAAATCTTTGTTTATAGATAGAAAACGAATCTATATAATTATTATGGCATTTGTAAATCATAGTCTGTCTTTATAAAAATCTTATAATTCAAAATTATAAAAAATTTTTATAATAATTTATTTCAGTCACTTTCAGAATTGAAATTTATTCAACCAAATATTAATTATACTTACTTATAATTTTGAAAAGAAAACGCAATTTAAGTATTTTATTCTTTTATGACATCGATTTTATTTTTAGTTTTTTTAATTTCTTTCTCAAATTCAACTTAATTTCACTAAAATTCTTTTATTTACTATTTTATTTTTATTTTCTTTTTTCCAGGTCAATAAAAAGCAGTCATCATCATAATCGATTCGATGATCGTCGTGGTTCACATCGAACTAGATCAATAATAATGTACGGTAAAAGTGAATTATCTGGAACATCATTGATTACTGGTGATAATATGAAAAATGGAAATAACAGTAGTAGTCATAATAATAGTAATGATAATCATGATGATGATAATGATGGAATTAATAAAAATATAAGTAGTCGTTCATTGAAAAGACGAACAAATCTTGTTAGAAATAATAGTACATCAAGTGATGTTATAACAATAAATGGTGAAAGAGTTAAACAGGATGTACAGCGTATTAGTAATAGTGTACAAGCACAAATAGAACGTATGTTTACAGATGTTGCTAAAGATGCTACATGTAGTTTTGATGTACGTTGTTTAGGTTCATTGCCATTAAAAGATAAAGTTACTAGTTTACAAGGATTACAGGATCCTTTAAGGCAACTATATCTAAGTGATGCAATACAAGGGGTAAGAATTTTAAATTAAAAAAGAATTATTTCAATATCTTGTAAATTCTGCAATTTTAAATATCTTGATATCTGAAAAATCCATATGTGTCTTCAAAATCGCTTCTTTTTCTTGTTGTGCTGCAAATCCACTACTGGAAGTTAAACGATCACGTTTTTACACTTTAGTATTGCAGATTTGCAATAGTGTTAAAATATTCTTCTATGCGTTTCCTATTTTTCTATACGGTTCTTACGTTTGTCCAGTTTCGAATGTTACCAAAGTAGATTATTTTCCACCTTCAATTATTACTACACCTGTTTCTCTGTTCCCTTTATTATTAATTACATAAATATTTTGAATAAAATAAAAATTTAAATATGGATATTTATTAGCTATTTATATATATATTTTTTAAGAATCAACCGAATGGTCAATTAGATATTTGTGCATCTGGTTTACGCTTTCGACAAGATGATGACAAAGAATCAAAAATGACACCATTTCATAATATCGCAGTATGGTCGGCAGTAAAATTTGTTGTATCACAAGAAGAAGGTGGTGCTGCTTTTCTGCCTCTCATAACTGATCCAGAAAATATTGATAAATCATCTTTATTTCAACCACTTAGGTAATGTTCTTAGCCCTGTTCAAATAATTCGTTCCAAACTTAATTTAATTTACATTTTTTAGTGCTTCAGATCAACGACGTTTATCATCCGGTTTACATGCGCCAATTTTTGCTGTTGTAATGCGTTCCTCAGGTATTCCTAAATTATTGGAATGTCATGCATTCGTTTGTCAAACCCCAGAAGATGCCATAGTTATTGCAGCAACCCTATATCAAAGTTTAATGTCTCATGTAAGTACGAATTCACATCGAAGTTCAAAAAAACGAACTCCTCGAAATCAAAATGGTGTTAGTTGTATAAGCATTGCTAGTAGTTCAGCTGCAAATGGTTCAAATTATTTATCAAGAAATGGTAACGTCAGTTTAGCAAATGTTGGTCGAAAAAATTCTCTTCGAAGATCTAATCGTCTTCGTTCTAATCAAATGAACAGAACTGAATCAATTAATTCGTTAGCAGGATCAACAAGACAATCACAAAATAGAAAAAAACGTGCTGCTTCAAGTTCATTAAGTGGTGAAAGTGATAATTTTCAGGGTGTTGTCGAAACTACAACTGAAGAACGAAAAAAAAAATCACATAAAACAAAAAGAGCTCCACCAATACCGACTCCAGCTCGTAATAAGCCAATTAATTTGTTGACGAATAACACAAATAATATAGACAATAAAAATTCTATTGCATTAAATTCAGGAAATTACACTGACGGTATCGATAGCATTGTTGATTTAAATTCATCCACAACAAATTCAAATGGTAAAAAAAAAGTTGAATCTAAAAAAAATAAAAAATCTACTACGAATTCTGAGCAACATTATCATCGTAATAGCGAAGGTGGTGATATTTTAACAAGAGTTGCAATACCACGTTCTGGAAGTTTTTTAAACACAGGCGGTCTAACCCGATACAAATCACGTGCCACACGTAGAAATTCTGGAAAAAATGATGTTTGGGGTGGTGGTGGAGGGTAAGATTTAAATATGTATATTTTTTTTATATAAAATATTAGAAAAGGTGAAATTGCATTGAAATCAGAATAAAAATTAAATCGTTTTGCAATTTTTCTTCATTATTCTTACCTTCAGAATTATGAAAATTTTATTTTATAAAACTTTTCAGTTAATTGAAAATTTACTTTTCAAATTTGGGAATTGTGAAAAAGTAAATTTGTAAATTATATGTAATTATTTTCTGCTTAAACTTAGTGATTTCCGTATGTCTCCAACGAAAATCGAGTTTACGGTTTTCCTAAATTCGTACAATTTATACCTTTTTTAATATTGAAATCACATCAGTTTATTTGCGAAAGAAAAGAAATAAAAAATCTAAATTTCGCGAATATATTTGATATTATTGCACAATTACAGATCACCACTTGGTTTCAATGAACTTTTCAATGAATTTAGATTACAAGAGAATCTCCATTCGTTGGATGACATATTAAATGCAATCATCGATGCTGATGGGATGTCATTTAATGATTTGAAACCAATATATAAGGAATTTTTATTAAAGTTAGCTGTTACTCTAACAAAAGATGAACTTTATCAAAGATCAAAAAATATAATGAGAAGACAGAGAAAAAGAAAATTAAAACGAAAAAATAGTCAGGTACAATTACTTAATATCTTTGTTTTTAATAAGATAATTAATCCCCAAAAAAATTTAAACTAATTTTAATTATATTGTAGAAAAAGAAAAATTTTAGTATTGGAAGTGGGATTAGAAATGTTTTTCGTTTTGGAAAATTTCGTACAACTAATAAATCACTTAAGAGCACCGATTTTTCTTCTAAATCAACAACTAATAAGACTGTTTCAAAGGATTCATCAAGAGTAAAAGAAAATCCATGTTGTAAAATGGGAGCAACAAGTTCATCAGATGTTTCTGTTGCACGTCATGATAATAATATTAATGGATTTCATAGGAACAGTTCCAGTGGGTAGGTATTTCTAACATATTGTTGTATGTATACACATATGTATATCGACACTTATCAGAAAGAATGTATGTACAAGGCAAAAATATTATGCAAATACTACTTTCAAAACGCCATGCCAGAAATGATAAAATACAGGGAAATGTTTCTTTTGTTTTACATTGACTATCGCCTAATAGATACCTACATACGTTCTTCATGATAATTATCAACAGATTGTTAAAAACTATTACAATTTTATTGTACGGAACACTAAAAATATCTCTAAGTAATTTAAACAGTATTATTACTTTTTAAATTCTGTTCTTAAATCAAATTGAAATAATTTCTTACAAAAGTCTACATAAACATTTTTTCCAGATTTTAATATTTGCAAAAATAGAGTCAATAATTTATTGAAATTACTTAGAGATCTTATTAATCATTTACTTTATTTTTAACATATTTTCAGTTTCTGCTAGATATTAACATTATACTTTTTCATATATTGAATTAAATTTTTTTTTTGTTTTTGGTTCGACACAACTAACACAACTTTTATCAAAATTTTTTCTTTCATGTCTTTATTATTGTGCTGTCTTCTTTGTTTTGCCTTCTCTTGAAACACTAATTTCAGCTATGTTTCATGTTCCGAATGCAGTTATGATTCTGAAGCATGTACATGTGAATCAGCTGATCGTTGCTATTGTAGTTTGGGTGCTGATAATGAATTATTGGATTCATCGGAATCGAATCGTCATCAAAATGGTACAATGAAAACTGTGAATCGCCATAATACACAATTTAATGAAAAATTACGAAGACGATCACGTACACCTGGACCAAGAGATTCATTACTATCATGTAGAACCGATGATAAATGTTATTGTTCGATGTTAGATACAACTCCAGGATACACATCAGATACAACTTATTGTGATACAGATAGCTGTAATAGTGCAAGTAAATGTTATTGTCCGCATAATGAATTAAAACAAAAGCGCCGTCTTGAATGCTGTAACAATGATGATAGCCTAATTGAAATAACAAAAAATAATAAGAAAAGTACAAGACGTAAACCACCTGAAAAATTTGGTCTTGATTATGAATTATTTCAAATAGATGATGATAATAGTGATGTTAAACAAAGAAAAAGTCGTAGCCGTAGTATTGGTAGCATTAATCGAAGTAGTAGTTGCCATGAAAGTTGTTGTGAAGTTGAAATACGAAAACAAAAATTGAAACAACATGAAGCATTAAGTATGAAAAAAAGTGTTGAAGCTGCTGCTATATTCGCTGATGTTAAATTAAGTCAAACAACTGATTTACAAAAGAATAAAAAATCAAGAGGACAAACTAATAAAATACATCAGAATCAACAGAATACTCTAACGAGTAATGGTATTAGACAAAATTTATTAAGTGAACAAGTAAATCGAAATAACAAGAAAAATTCTTTTGTCACAAAGAAGCATGATGATTTAAAAAATTGTGAAAGATATAATCGAAGTATTAGTAGCAGTTATAAACCGAGTACTAATAGCATAAGTAGTCGTAAAGTTTCTTCTTCAAGTAGTCATAGAAGTCAACATCATCATCAGAGATCATCGTCAACTGATAATTTTTTAACAAAATTGAATGCAATCGAAAAATACAATCATAGAAGTACTTCGAAAAATTCTGGTAAAGGTCGAACAATAAATGAGAGCTATTATCAATCAATGCGAATTGTTAGTGCATCCTTAGAAGATTCACTTGGTTACTTGCCATAAATTTGTAATTAATTAATATTAATTTATTTTTAATAATTTTTTTTTTTAATTTTTAGTATTACATATGTATGTATTAAAAGAGTAATTGTTATTTTTATTAAATGCTTATACGTATGTATGCTTAAAAAAATTAATATGTTTAAAGTAAGATTAAATCTAAGATAGTTGCATACGCAAATATTCATAATTAAGTTGTTTTTTAATGCTACTTATTTTCACCTATTTTCAAATTTCGAAGCGTGCCGACTGTTTCTTAAGGTTCTTTATATACCTAAATGCTTTTAAAAATTGATCACTATTAAGAATTGAATATCTTAATAGCTACAGTAATAATTAATGTTAAATGGAATTTTCGCAACATTGAATTTGCTTATTTTACAAGTAAAAGTGGTTATATCACCAGTGCATAATATAAGTAAATATTTGAGTTGATTAAAATTTAACTTTAAATTTCTTATTCAAAAGTTAAAATCATTGGTTTTACTATCATTAACTCGCACAGCCACTAAATTTTGTATTCAAGTACCTTCCTAACCGATACATATTATTTTTGTATGAAAGTTGAAACATATTTAAAGAGATTTTACATATTTTATAACAAAATCTAACGAGAATATTTGTCAACACATTTTTGAATACAACTATTGTTGCCTGAACAAAGTAAAAGACAAGGCTTTCAATTAACACTATTTGAAAGAAATTTATTTGTATTAGAAATTTTTAGTCTTATTACAGAATCAATTTTGAAGTATTTTAATCGTAAATTAACTTTTACTTATACTGTAACGAGTTTTTATAAATTCTTTTTAATTGAAATTAATTAAAATTTGTAAATATTTCTATAAATTTAAGAAAATCAGATAATTGGTTAAAATTTAATTATAAATAGAAAAAAAAGAAAGAAAATGGGTTATTTTTTTAATTCAGGTGACTGGTGCAATATTATTTTTAATTTTTATCAACTAAATAAATTATAAATAAATTATATTATTATATGTATATGTTAATGTAAAGTTTAAAAATACATTAGTGCAATGAAAAGTGCAATCAAATATTCAAATAATTGAACAAAAGATTTTAATATTTTATTATAAATAACAAAAAGAAATTTTAACCTTAATAAATTTTTACATACATACTTTTGTAGGTACTTATTTATGCCATTTATAACACATTATAATAGTTATTAAATACAATAATTTAAACATAACATTTATATGTATAATATTTTGTGTGTAATTTAATTTTTTTGTATGTATGTACTTTATTGCCGATCAAAATTTCGATCATAATATTGTTTAAACGTACATAAATAAATTTTAAAATAAAAATACTTAAACAAAAATAAACTATATAATATAATCCTAGTATTATTTTTTGATTTCAAAAATATTTTCTTAGTTATTTTAGAGCCGTATTCTCATAAATATCAAATAGTATAAATAAATAAAGAAGACTATTCTTTACATGCATATACTTAAATAACTAATTTTCTATGCATATAAGTAATTACCTTATTTCATATACATACATACATATGTACATGTGTACCCACATTTAGAACCTAGATATATATATATATATATATATATATATATAACTCACTTTAAGTACTGTACCTTTTTGCTTTTTTATGACAAACTTCATTAACCTTTAAAACCTATAACCGAGTTTACAAATACCGGAAAGAGAAGTAGGTACACAGTTTTTTTTTTAAATATTTAACCGTTATTCAATCACGAGTCAGGAAATCCCCACTTGTATGTTCTTCAAAAAATGCTGGGAAAGGCAATTCTTGAAAAAATCTTAAGATTTCACTAATTATGTACGCATCAAATGCAACAAATTTCAAATTTGAAAATAAACTTAAAATTGCATCTGCAGCAACGTAAATTTGTTTAATTGTTTATTTCGTTATACGCCATACCTATGTACATTTGCACATAATTTCATATCGTAATTTGTGATATCCATGCATATGTATGTATATGTATTTAAAATAAAGTAAACAGAATAAAATTTGATTTGGGTTTTAGTTTCAAGTCCGAAAAAATGGTGGCGCGCGTGCAGTTCAAATTTTTGACCTTTATGTCACTTATATCTTTTCCACATGCACATACATATTTTTGTATTGAACAGTGTTTATTGACAATGACTTCATCAAAGTGTCACTCATAATTTAAAGTTGTTTATTTATTTAAAGTTAGTGTTAAATTATATTTTACTTAAAAAAAGAATTAAATTGTATTTTGAAATACATATGTATTAGTAGAACAATTTATGTTCTTTATATGTTAATAAAAAGAATTTATAATCAATAAAATTTAATAAAAAAACTAGCAACTAAATTCAAATTAAAATATTTTACAATTTCAGGTTAGATTTATAAAAACATATAATTTTGGACACGAACCAATTATTTTCGAAAATTTTTGAATTGAAATACGAACTCTTTCTTAAGCTAGTTTAAGTTTTTTATGTCCATCTTTGACAAAGAAAAATCTTTGATGTGCTTATAGCGAAGATAAGTTCTTAAGGTTACCGAATTAATTTTATTTTAGGTTTTTCTCATTAATGTTCTAAACTCTAAAGTGATAAAAAGCAATAATTCACCGATTTCTAAAAAAAAAATGTTTAAAAGACTAATGAGGTATACTCGTAGTCGGCTCTGTGACAGAAATTTCAAGAACTTTGTATCTTCCGACAGAAGAAAAAGTAAATAATTCTACCATATTTTTTCCCGCTAAATTAAAGATAAGAAACTATTGACAAACATTCTCAGAAAAATATCTAATATAACCCTAATATTCTTAAACTTTTTGGAAGGTATTAGCGCATTTGACGTAAATTTTACGTAACACTTCGTAATTTATTTCTATCAAAAAAATCTGTAAATTTTATAATTTTTTTTATCTTTATCAAAAAAATTACAAAAATTTAGAATAACTTCCATATGAAAACTTTTTCCTTAATAATTTAAAAATTAGATTTTTATGTCAATCATTTTAATAGTAACTACCATTTAGTGCGAAGCGTCAAAAACATAATGTCATAATTCGAAAATTGATTTCGAAATTTTACCTTTGATAGCACACAGCTGTTTAACACAAAAGAGACGAATATACAACGTATTTTCCAGAACTTGTGAAAATGTACAAAAATTTTCAGTTTTAAGGAAAAGATTTTTGAGAAGCTTTTTCAACTGAATATTGTGTAAAAAAATAATTGAAATAAATATAAATCGGAAATCTAGTTTTCAAATACATTATAGATGACGGAAATATAAAAAAATCATAAAAGAAAGGAAAAAATATAAAAAAATCTAAACCTAAAAATTGATAACCATACTTGAAATTCGCAAATGAAAAAAAGCCAAATATGTCTTCGTTGCAATTTGTAGTTTATCCTCTTCCAGGAACTGAGGATCAATTAAATGATAAGTAAGTTAAAAATTCCTTTTTTAAAACATCATAAAAATCGAATTTAAAAGCATTAAAGTTGGAATTTCTCTGGAAAAAATTATTTTTGCCGTGCAAAATTTGTTAATCTGAAAGGAAAAATTCGGCCATAATGGCAGCCATGGTTCCACGTTTTGCTCGCAATATTTCCAAATATTTTACTAAAATCTGACTCATCACCATTAATTTCGCTAGTTTATTTCATAAAGTTAGCATAATAATCGAAAATACGAGTTTGAATACGAAATTAAATGAAATAATTTAAAAGGAATATGTGTTACTTCAAGTCAGGTGTTTTTTTTTTTTATTTCTACCTATACTAATGATGAATTTTTATGTAAGTTTCAACATGGCTGGAACTGCCATCTTAAATAATATTGTTGGTATAATAAATAACTCCAGAGAGCATATTCCAATTTATGTTTTTGTTATTGAATAATGAAATAATTTTTTTTTTAACATGTAAATTAAAAATTTTAATTTGAAATAGATTTCGTGAAATATCGGACAAACTTAATAAATTTGGTTCACCAGCTTTGCAAGCATTACAGTCCTTAAGAGTTCCTGTTAAGCAAGTTGTTATAGGTCCAACACATTTAGGATTACTATTAGAAGATGGTAGAGCATTTAGAGTTGCTTTTTCTATTATCTCAGAACGTTTAGATTTAACCAAAAATGATGCAAATAAAAGGTATTTAAATAACTTACGATCTCATTCCTATAAATTGAGATCTTAATTGAGCTTTCCTTTTTTTACTTTAATTGTAGTGGAAATAATGCATCTTTATCATCTAACAACTCGAAAAATTCACCAGGAACATCATCACGGCAACTAGCAAGATCAAGAACAAGGGTAATGCGGACTGCAATTAGAAGTGCAAGTGGGGGACAGAACTCTGGATCTCGAAGTACGGGTGTAATTATTGGAGGAAGTTCGTCGGGCAGGTCATTGGTTACGGTTCCAGCACCATTCGTTCCTGATGAACTGATCAATCAAGCTCAAGTTGTCTTGCAAGGAAAAAGCAGAAATCTAATCATGAGAGAATTACAGGTTAGAATTTAAAAAGAAAATACGAATTTTTTTCCTTTTTTAATTAACTTAAATATATACTGTTTAATGTTAAATATTTTAAAAATGTAAAAACAAACTAAAATTATTTTTATTAATTAATTTTAGAGAACAAACCTTGATGTAAATTTAGCTGTTAATAATTTGTTATCTCGGGACGATGAAGAAGGCGAAGATACAGAAGAAGGTGGAGATCATTATGTTCCCGAAGATTTAATATCATTATTGGATAATGGATTTCATGCCGATAATAGCAGTGTTATAATTGATCCTTCTGATGGTCTTTTCTCTGAAGAAATGTTTAGTAATTATTCCAGCATAAGGAAGTAAGTTTTTTTATAATGAGACATTTCAAATAAAAGTGTAAATCAGTTTTCTACAATGAACCATATTATGAAAATATGAGTGACTATCATATTATAGAAATATGAGTGACTATCATATTATGAAAATACAATTTCGGGTATTCATACTATTGTATTGTTGAATAACTTTATATCTTTAAACTCCAGTTTTGCCTACTATAACTTTTTTTCATTGTGGATTTCTGTTCACATTGTACTTTTAAAGCTAAATTGCTTTAATTGTGGAGTTCTGTTCAATTTGTACTTTTAAAGCTAAACAAGCCAAAAAAGTTCATTGAATTGTTTAAAAATATTGAAAAATATTTCTATTTTAATATGTATGCCACAAGTACTTTTAAAAATATTTTTAAAAAGCAAAATTAACAAAAAAAAATAAAAAATAGAAAAATTATAATGAGCTATAGCGTAAATTTTTGTATCTAATTTGAGGTATGTACTTTGTTCAATTACATAATTGAAACTACCAACATAATTTAAATCAAATACATTAAATGTATTTGATCTTCGATAACGATGTTCAACTCTTCTTTTAGCGCTAAATATATAATTGTTATTCATTCGATAATGCAATATTAAAATAATGAAAAACAAAGCATACAAAATTTGAAAAAATAATTTAAATAATTAATAACTTTATTAAAATTATTTCGATTTCCTCAAAAAAGCTTGTTATTTAGCCGTATACGCAGTGAACGAAATCAACCTAATTCTGCTAATACTAGCGGCACAGGAACAGGAAGTTCAACAACGGATGGTAATGGTGGAACTAGTGGAACATTACGATCAACAGGATCTTCTACAAACTCAAGTAGTGGGGTTTCTTCAGGTTCAACATCGTCTGTTCCCCCTGCCAGTGATCGTGATGCATTTAGTCGTTGGAGAGATAGACAATACTATGGTCCAAGGAGATGGTTTGCGCAAAATGAATCAGGGTGGGAAAAGGAGTCAGGTATTTATTATAAAAACACTAATTTTACTTAATTTAATTAACTTTTTAAAATTAAATTTGGTTTTGAAAAACTAGACGTAAAGAAAAAGGAAACTAATGCTGGTCCACCAATATGGATTTCTGATGAGCTCGAGTCTTGGCCAGAGAAAGAAGGTGTTCCAATACGATTTAATCAAATAGTCGCTTTATATTCTGAATTTATTGGAGTTTCTGTAAAGGGTGAATTACATCAATGGCGTTGGACTGATTATGATCCATATAAAAGCGAGGTAAATTAATACGATATACTTTTAAAAACTATCACATTAAATATTATTTACAGACACCAGGAATATATCACCCAAAAACTTCGCAACTGAACTTATATGAAAAGGTTGTTAACATTTCTGCATCAACCATACGGTGCTCTGTTTCTACAGAAAACAATCGTGTGGCAACTTGGATGGATGAGCAATTGGGATATGCTGGAACAAAACTTGAACATACAGCTATAAGCTTTCCAGAATTTTCTCAAGAAAATATACAATCTTTATACACATGTCCATTGTATACTGTAGCTCGAACAGAATCAAATTCTCTATTTTGGTGGGGTGTTCTTCCATTTGGACAACGTAAGCGATTGTGGGAAAAATATAAAGCTAAAACTAGAAAACCCGTACGTCCATCTTCGCAGAATCCAGAAATCACAGTAGGCTCCCAAGTTATTATGAAAAAGTGTCCAATGTATCAAATGGGATCAATAGGATTTACAATTTCGAACGGAGTACCAAAAGTTGGGCAATTATTAAATGCAGCGTGGGATTTATCGGATGTATGCCGTTTCAAATTGATTAACGTAATAACTAGTGAAAAGGACAAATCCGTCAACACAATAAGTATATTGGGTGGTGATAAAGAGAGTAGTGCTATTAAAAATAGTTCATCCCAATCATCCACTGCTACAAAACAAACAAGTAATACTACTAATAATAAGGAAAACGCCGATCGTATAGATATGCCACCGCCTCCATCACCAGCATCTAGCACTTGCAGTGACACGGGAAGCGTTACATCTCATAAACGAGCAAAAAGAATGACTCCAAAGGAGGAAGTTGAATCTAAAAAGGATGAAGAGTCTTGGATTTTAAAAGACGTAGTCTTTGTCGAAGATCGCAGCGGGCCAATTGGCAGAGTTTTGAAGGTTGACGGAGATTTCGTAGCTGTGCGTTTTCCAAACACATCTGTCAATCAAACGGAAAGCAAAGACGATGATTGGCAGGAATGTCGTTTACTGCGTCGTGATGATATTCAAGTCATTAAATCTGGAACAACATCTAGAAGTCCGGATTGTTTTCAAAAATCTCCCCGGAGGATCTTATTCGTAAACGGGAGTGGTAATGAAAATTCCCAAAGTCATTTACTAACACTCTCTGTAGATTCGAAAGGGGTTCACGCGATAATGAAAATTGGATCGAAGTTACATTATTGCCTTTATAACTTAAATAATGGTAGACAGGAGCAGGATAGTTTATTTCCGACAGATTATAATACGTTTGTTGGACATTCGGTCGCCAACGTAAATTTATCATCTTGTAGTGATTGCAGTGAAAACAGTGTTGTTTTATTACGTGATGGAAACAACACAATATATCCCTTATCAAAAGATTGTGTTGAAGCAATTAAAGATCCTCAATGGTTAGACCTTCCACCAATACGATCAGTTGCAATGGCATCTTTATCAGTTCCATCAATTGGCATGAATCTAAAGACTCAAGTGTCTTTGATAGCATTTTTAACAGAGCCACAACATTTAATGCCTCGAATATTACGATGCGATTCAAAAGGCGCAACAACATTTTTAAGTCAGTTAGAAAGCGAATTTAGATCCCTATTGCCAGCTGTAGTTAATGAGCGTTGCGATGGTAATCGCAATATATTCCACGCTTGTGTTTCAATGTGCTCTCCAACTACAAATAAAGATATTGAAGATAAACCAACAATAACTACTTCTGGAAATTCAAGAAATTCAAATTCCAGTTTAGATTGCATGAACATGAATCCATTTGTTTCTAACAATACAAGTGCTGGTAACTCTGGAAATGAAAATGGTGCTACAAATAATAGTCGGGACCAAACAAGACCCGTCTGTTTGCGTGATATTATGAGTCGAGTTTCGCATATAGAGCCAAGTGGAAATGCTACTAATAACTTAACTACAGGTTCAGCATCCAATGATGGTGAAAATACTTTCGTGCCATTGTCATATTGGCCACCAGAATATGATCCAACATCTGGTGATGAAGATAGCTTAGGTAGTTTATCTGTGTTCCAAAAGTTTACTTGATATATTAAATATTTCTATCAATTTTAGGTTCTAACACTCAGTCAAGCAAGTCCTATGTTTCAACAACATATGTATCAGATCCGATACAGCGTCGTGAGAATGCATGCTATATTCTACAACAAATGTGTAATAATTCGGCACTTAAGCCCTATCTAGTTCAACTACTAAGTGCTAAAGATGCCCAAGGTCAAACTCCTTTTATGCTATCAGTTTCATGTAGAGCATATGAAGCCGGAAAAATTCTTTTAAACACAATACTTAATATAGCCAATGGCGATTCGTCTATCAGAGATTCTATGATCTTTCCATCAGGATCATTGCCTGATCAATCTCCTTTACATATAATTTGTTGTAATGATACGTGTTCATTCACATGGACTGGAGCTGATCACATAAATCAAAACATATTTGAATGCAAAACTTGTGGTTTGACTGGATCTCTTTGCTGTTGTACAGAATGTGCGAAAGTGTGTCATAAAGGACACGATTGTAAATTAAAGAAAACTTCTCCTACAGCTTATTGTGATTGTTGGGAAAAATGCAAGTGCAAAGCATTAATCGCTGGTAATCAGTCTAAAAGATTTGCTTTGCTATGTAAATTGACAACAGATACAGACTTAGTAACAAAATTCAACTCACGAGGTGAGTCAATTCTACTTTTTTTGATTCAAACAGTTGGACGTCAAATGATCGAACAGAGACAGTACCGCGCAACATCTAGAATTCGTAATAACTCCAGCAATACTAGAAAAACACCTTCTCTTGAAGTTGATCAAGACATGCCAGAACACGATCTAGAACCACCACGATTTGCCAGGAAAGCTTTAGAGCGTCTTTTGGTTGATTGGCCTGCTGTGAAAGCAATGATAATGACTGGGGCCGAAGAAGAATCTCATTTATCTTACAATACACAAAATATCGACGATTATGAGTCACATAATTTATACTTAAAATCACAGTGTGGTACAACGTTGTTAGATAAATTCACGCACAGTTTATTCGTTAAATGTAATGTAGATCATTTGGAAATTTTATTAACCACGCTAGTAAGGGAATTACAAAACTATTTAATACCGGGCCGAATTGACGAAGCTCAAAAGGTGGCAAGACGTTTTGTTCGTTCAGTTGCCCGTGTATTTGTAATCTTCAGTTTAGAGAAAGTTCCAAATCCAGAAAAGCAGAGAAAGTAAGTTACTACTACAATAAAACTCAAAAGTTTTTTTTTTTTTTAAATTTTATAAAAAATTATTCTAATCTATAGCTCTTCCCAAAGCAGACATATTCAAAGTTGCCAGAAAGTATTTCATATTTTACATAAAATTGCAATTGAAGAATTATGTGAAACAGCAGATGCCCTTATTGCACCAGTAAGACTTGGTGTCGTTAGACCAACAGCACCTTTCGCAATAACACCAAGTACAAATGATGTAAGAGTTCACCCCTGTCTTTTAATTTTTAAACAAATTTTAATCTTCAACTTGTTTTTTTAGAATTCTGACGATTTGTTCAGTGTTGAACCTTTAGCCCCACCTGTTTTTAGGAACGCGGATCAACCTCCAACATCATCTGCCGAAGAACCTGGTGGAATATCAAACTATCGTTTATTGCAAATGGATGACAATAATGAAACAGATGGTAAGTAAAAATTTTGTATGTATTCTATTTAACTCATGACAAACATTAGCTTTAGGTCAAGGAGATGGCGATATTTCAGAGCAAGATGATGTTTTAGATAATAGTCGATCAGGTGCTCGTCCTATAGAAGAAGAAGCTGCCGATGCTTTAAGAAATGAAGACGTGCAACCAGAAGGTGAAAGTGACAACGAATTTAACTTTCAAGAAGCAGAAACAGAATCTGATTCTGATGATAATCAGAGCACTCAAGATGCACAAAGGAGTGTTCAAACAGGTGCAACGGCCGGATCCGATACAGGTGAAAATTTTTATTTTTCTTAATTAACATTTCCTTTCATTCAGCTTTCTCATAGTAACAGCATTAGACACAGTCATATTACTTGTGATGTTATTCTTAAAACTTTTTCTATATTTAAATTCAAAGAATTAAATTTCTACAACATTTAGGTTTACAATCATTATTACTATTTGAAGATGAGTCTGGTGATTCATCACCACCTGACGATGAAGCGTCTGATGACGGGGAAACTGATGAACATTCTGAAGAAGGATTTGTTTTAAATGATGACCAACTAGAAAGACGTAATGGCAATGGAAATTCCAGAAACAATTCGGCTCCACAATCTATGCAATGGGCTATACGTAATCGAGAATCAAGTCGATCATCTGTACGTTTACCGACTGGTTCTAGTTTGGTGTTTATAGATCCAATGGCTTTGAGGAGATCAGCTGTCTCAAGTTCAGCTGTGACAGCAGCATCACAAGAGCCTCACACAATGGCAACAACAGCAAGCAGTTTAGCTAGAGCATTTGGAATAGTTATAAGACAAATTTCTGATTTAATGACAGGTTTATCCGAAATGTTAGCACAATCGTCACATTTTCAACTTAAAGTGACATATGAGGAAGCTGTGGAGCTGCAAAAATATTTAGAAACACGTTTAAAACCAACATGGGATTGGATGCTGAGGGTAATGGATGCAACAGAAGCTCAATTAAAATTTGGGGCATCTCTCACAAACTCTACCGACCCCTCACACCCTCTACATCCGTTAAATACAACCGCGCAGAGTGGTAATGGAAACACCTCGTCGCATGGAATCAATCTTCTAGGAACAACCGCACAACCAAGAAATAGAAGTCAAGGAGGTGATACAACTCAAAATAATGCCACATCTAATACTAGAATTGTAGGATTTTCCAACTCCGATAATCAACGAAATTATGACAGAGAGGGTAACATTTAAATTTTAGTTTAAAAAGTTTACGGAGTAAATGATTTTTTTTTCAGCTTCCACATACACCCAAGCTTCTCGTAGAGAATTTTTCACTTATTGCTTGTCGTTGATGCGAGCACATACTTCCGAACATAGAGATTCGTTGCCAGTTTTAGACGTTACGGCGTTAAGGCATATTGCATATGTTCTCGATGGAATAGTTTTTTATATGCGCGGCGGTATGAATTCCACTGAAAATGAAAAGGTTGACGTAGGAACATGGAATGATCAAGATGAAAATGAAAACGATGATACTGAAGACGAATTGGGTGTTGTAATGGGGGATAATGATCCAACCGAAGATGAATTATTGACAGCGTCTGGAAATATATCTTCACTCGGAAAACGTCACAGTTTCTTTCAAAGATCAGAATCAACTTTGTGTTTAGGCTGCCCAGCTCCAGATCCTTTTAATACACCATTACAAATTGCTTTACCATTAGCAGACAAGCCACATTTGTTACAACCCGGTGTAAAACGTGAGGAATTGTTTTCTAATCTATCCTTGCCAATTACGACTGAAGTGGCTAGTGATATTCCTGGACTTAACTCTTCGTTGGAAATTCCACCGACCAGACTGGGTTTATCACCATCTTTTGAGCAATTAACAAATGAATCTTCAAGATCTCAATATATATCTACGTCAAGTTCATCATCAATAATTAACCAAAACACAAATATAGTTCCGCAACCTAGTACATCAACATCTGCTAGTAATGTTAGTAGTATTGAACAACATTCTGCAATAATTCATCAATCAACAAATGTGGCGGGTGAATCGTCGTCGTCTCAAAATCTTCGTAGTGAAGGTTCATCAAATGAAAGTAACTCAACTTATAAATCCAACGAAAACTATGGAAATTTATACGTTCAACTAAAAAAGAAAAATTATTACGACCAGCACGAGGACGAATCAAAGTCTAAAAATGATAGTAAAATATATCCCTTAGAAAGCTAAACAAATTATTTTTAATGAAATATTTTTTTAGGTCCCCAAGATTTATCAGTTTCGCCTGCGAAAATATTCAAATCTAGCAATGATCAATCCAAAAGGCATTTTCAAATGGAAATTGATTACGATGAAGAGGACGACGATGAAAGTGATGATGAAAGGCAACCCCCTCCTCCACCAACGGAACAGCAATCGAATGTGAATCAAGCGAATGGACAGGCATCATATGACGCCACTGAATACGAAATGAACACGGTTCGTCCTCAAATAATAGTAACACCAAGAAAAGTAGTGGCTGCAATTGAATCCGTAACAGCAGCAATTTTGGCGAAGAATAATAAAAGTTCGTTATCTGAATTAGTTAAACCTGAAATTCCAATAACCCTTTTACCATCATCGTTCATACCAATAACAGATAACAAAAATCAACAACAGCCTGATGGACAACAACCAATTTCTGACACAGGAACAAGCTCAACAGTAGAGGCTAATTTGGCTACTTCGAAGAAAAGTTCACCCTCAAAGAGTGTTATCGTTAGAGCTGGACCATCGGTAAGAATTAAAAATTATTTTGCAGAATTAAAAATATACACACGGGTTACAAAATTTGTTCGAACATAAATAAATCGAATTGAGTCGTGTCTAAAATTGATGGGGATTGATGATACAGCATGGCAGACGGAGATTCTATTACTATGTTCACTCTCAATCCCTCACACAAAATTTTGCTTTCTGATGAGCTGAATAGCACCAGCTTTTGTTACAGCACAGATACGGAGCAAACAAAATTAATTTGAAATTCTATCATTTTGATGTTATTTTTATTTTTACATAGTGTACTTACACAATTTTTCTTTTAATTTTAGTCTTCATCAAGTTCAATGGATGCTATTCAACATACAGAAATTATGGATACTCAAGAAATTTCGGCGCATGTTACAGTTGAAACAACACCATCCACTATTCCAATGCAAGTATTACCTGCACGTGGTAATATGTTCAGATCAAATATGGTATCAAATCCCCCTACATGGAATCTTTTACTTGGACGTTGGAAATTATCACTAGATTTATTCGGCCGAGTGTTTATGGAAGACGTTGGTTTAGAACCTGGTTCAATTGTTTCTGAGCTTCGCGGTTTTCCGGTTAAAGAGACCCGCTTTAGACGATATATGGAAAAGCTTCGAAATAGTCAACAACGTGATTTAACTTTATTAAAAATTGAAAGAAATCGTGCTAGTTTGATAACTCAGACGTTTAAGGAATTAAATACACAATTTGGTAACCAAAATAGACGTGGACACCCGCCATTAACATTTAATAGGGTAAAAGTAACATTCAAAGATGAACCAGGTGAAGGCTCGGGTGTTGTTAGGAGCTTTTATACATCAATTGCCGAGGCGCTATTAGCTAACGAAAAACTACCAAATTTAGAATCTGCTCAAGTAGGTTCAAGTAAATATAGTGGTTCATTTACGAACATGTTAAGAAATCGTAGTTCGAGTAGTAGAGAAACGGCGCCATCTTCATCATCTTCAAGACGTGCAAGTAGTAATAATAAAATATTATGGAGAACTAACAGAGATCGTAAAACTTTAAATTATGACGCCAGACCATATATTCCAATTACGCACGGCCTTGGTAAGCTTTATGAGATATTTTGTAAATTTATGTTATTAAAATTAACAAAAAAAACATTATTTAAAGATGGTGCGCCTGTAAATCCAAGTATGAATGATCATCTATCTATACATTTACAACAACTTGGAGAACGATTATATCCAAAAGTAGGTTTATCTAAAATTAATACTCGTAGTTCTTGAATTCGAAACAATAATTTTTATTACTTTAGGTCCACACAATAAGTTCGACACATGCTTCAAAAATTACTGGAATGCTTTTAGAATTGCCGCCGGCACAACTACTGATAATTCTTGCTGCTGAAGATACCCTGCGTCAAAAAGTTAATGAAGCTTTAGAAATAATATTATATAAACAAAAACCCGAAATAGGTTAGTGAAATCAATTTCATATTTAATTTTAAAATACATATTAATAATTTATTTAGGAAATAATGTGGCGAACAGTAACTCATCTTCAAAGAAAATGAATCCTGTTGTAGTTTTAGAAACATGTCAACTAGAGGACAATGCACCATTATTTTATTCACCCGGAAAACGAGGATTTTATAGCCCTAGACAAGGAAACTCATCCTTTGAGAGAATAAATGCTTTTAGAAATATTGGAAGGTGACATAATTTTTAATTAAATGAATTTGAATTTTTATAATTTTAAAATTGTTTTTAAAATTGTTAATCCTACTTTTCTTTAGATTAATTGGTCTTTGTTTATTGCAAAATGAATTGCTTCCACTGTTTCTACAGCGCCACGTACTGAAATTTATTTTAGGAAGACAGATTAGATTTCATGATTTAGCATTTTTTGACCCCTCTGTATATGAATCATTAAGGCAACTAGTTTTAGATTCTCAAACTGAAGAAGGTTCAGAAATGATTTCAAAATTAGAAATTTTCTTTGTGTATGTATGAATTTATTAAAATTTTACACATTGTTGTACATATTATTGTTGAAGTGATTGTAACACTTTGCGATTTCTTTTTAGGATCGATTTATGTAAAGAAGAAGGCGGTGATAGTATTGAATTAATTCCAGGAGGTCGAGATATACAAGTAAATGAACATAATATATATGATTATGTTCGAAAATATGCTGAATATAGAATGGTTAAAAGTCAAGAAAAAGCTCTTGAGGTAAATATATTTAAAAAAAAATCTGATGTAGTCAGCACATAACTGACCGCAATGTGTATTGTTTAGTTAAGTGAAAGTTTTATAGAATATTATAAAAATACCTATTAAATACTTCTTTCCGATTTTAGGGGCATTAGTAAACTTAAAGTTAACATATCTAGAAAAATGTAAATTTGGCTCTTGGTAGAGTTTCGGTTTGTGCTTCCCGAATTCCCTGAAATGCTCGCCAGTTAGTTTCGGTAACAACCAGAACTCAAATATCAAATTTCAAGATATTCCATCAATTCGTTCCGTAGATATTGTAAAAATATAAAATCGGCCCTCAGATCAATTTCCGAGGCCTGATCTTTCCAAAAAATTTATGTGTTAATTGCTTTAATACGAAGAATTTAAATATTAAATTTCAATGAAATCGCTTGATTATTTCTCTTTTTATACGCAAAAATGTATATTTGGCTCGTAGTAATCGTCCAGTAACTCACACCTAATTCCTTCCAAAAGTTAGGAGGTTTCGCAGACGGTCGAGCAAAGCTTATATATGAAATTTCAAGTAAATCCGTTAAATATTTTCTTCATTATGATCAAAAATGTAAAACAGTCCCGCTAAAAAGTTAAAGTGCAGTTCTTGAGGCCCGATATATCCCAAAAGTTGATCAATCCGTGCCATAAACTTACATATAAATTTTCATGAAAATCGGTTAAGCCAAACTTAAGATTAACGCGTGCACACACAGGCAGACGGACAGACCGACCGACAGATTGCTAAAAATAGTTTATTTACACTTTGCTATCATGATGAAGTGCGTTCCCACCGAAAATTCGATATGCAAAATTTTTTGCCATCACATAACCTACCTATTAAATACAAAATGCGGTCGGTAAAAATTTTTTATAATGTGTAAAAATAAAAATTTTTACTTTTTTACAAAGGCATTAAGAGACGGAGTGTTTGATGTATTACCAAATGGAGCTCTTGAATCATTAACAGCAGAAGACTTAAGATTATTATTAAATGGTGTAGGTGATATCAATGTAGCAACTCTTATCTCTTATACAACATTCAACGATGAATCCAGTGAAGAATCTGATAAAATAATTAAATTCAAACGATGGCTCTGGAGTATTGTAGAAAAAATGAACAATTTGGAACGTCAAGACTTGGTATATAATTTATACATAATTATTCTTTTTTAAACTAATTGTATTTTTATTGATTTTTTAATGTTTAAAGATCAAAACAAATATTTTGATCCCAAGCTCTATTCTTTGCTCATAGCACTTAAAAAATTTCATAAAAAATGCATAACTATTATTCTTAAATTAGCAAAAAAAACTTTTTAATATTCAAAAACAATTTATTAAGATTTGGGAAAGTAAAAGTACCATAATATATGTATTAATAATTTTCAGGTTTACTTTTGGACTGGATCACCCGCTTTACCAGCTTCAGAAGAAGGTTTTCAACCTATGCCATCGGTCACAATAAGACCAGCTGATGACCATTTACCAACTGCGAATACATGTATATCTCGTCTGTATATTCCTCTCTATTCAAGTAAAGCAGTTCTTAGACATAAATTATTACTTGCGATAAAATCCAAAAACTTTGGTTTTGTTTAATAATAATTTTAAATTTTTAAAATTGAAATTCAAAATATTTTTTGTTCTTTATTATCTTAATCATAATATATTTCATTGAATTTAATGTTTTTCCCTTTTTTTATTTTATTATATAGATAACATTAAAGCAAAAAAAAAAAAATAATTTTATTTAAAAATAAAATTTACATGATAAAATAATATAAATGTTAAAAAACCTAAAAAAAAATATTACGAAAAAATAAAATCTAAGATTTTGATAAAAATTATCTTAGATATTTGGAACTTAACTCTTAAAAAAAAAAATAAATTTCAAATAAATTTGGATAAATATTTAATTAAATATTAGATTTGTTTAATTATGTATACATATTGTACAATAGGTTAGATCGAAAAAATTCTTTCTTAAATAAAATTTATGAATTTGTTTTTATTGGCGAAACTAATTTACAAACCTTTTGTTTGCAACTTAATAACAAACTGGCCCATTTAAGTTGGAAATATGTTCTCTATTAGGAATTCTACCATTTGAAACCATTTTACCGTATGGGACAATATATCGCATCCCCTATATTTTATTGCTAATTAATTTAAGCTTATTAATTTTATAGAATAAAAAACAAATCATATCTAATCAACTCTAATATAAAACACGGGTTTCATAATTCGGTACTTAACCTCTAACTTAAAAAAATTTTTTTGTATCACCACAAATCTACAGAAACTAACTAGCTTACTTTTTCAGAACCTTAAGATGATTTAGAACTAATTTTCGTACATGCTTCTTTTGTAATTATTATTTATCGAATAATGCCAAATTTGAAAATTTTGTTGTTTTGATTTATCGCACGTGTTTTATATTAAGATCTAAGTTAGAGTCTAATTGCAAAATGAATTGTTTGAAATATTCATTTTTTCGAACTCAAATAAATATCTACATTACATACTATATTAGAGTTTAGGTATTGTTTAATATTTATAAATCTTATATAAAAAATTAAAATTACTATGAATTTAATAATCAGTAATTTGAGAGTATTGAGCTTGGGGATTATTACTCTTTATACATAGATACAAATACTATGTATCATACAGTTTTCTTATTTACAGATGAAAGGTGGAACTAGTTTAAGTTTAAAATTATTGGTAAGTAATGGAACACTTTATTAACATGCAACATTATAACACATTTAAAAATTTATGGTAGGTATTTACTTTTGAGTGAAACGATACTCACGACTTAAGCTCAAAATAAATAAATTAAAATTTTAAATGCAAAATACAAGTATTCAAAATTGATCGGAATTTTATATTTCCATAACTACAAACATACACTTTGACCCATATAATATTTGGCTAAATAGTAAGGAAAATTCTTTATTCGTTGACTCAAAGAGTAGAATGATTAATAATATAAAAGCATTTTTGCATGAGTTACCGAAAATTCCTTTGCACTTGCAACTAGATTTGTATTTAAAGCTTTTATGCACACATTATTATTCCTATTATTCCATAGCAACAAAAAATTCCCAATATTAAAATAATATAAAACTGATATTCCTGTGGAGGAATTTGTTTATCCTATAGAAACGAATTGTTTTATTTTGATAGCTGCATTAAAATTTAATCGAATTTCATTCTTCAAATTCTTTAGGATTTTAGATTGAAAAATAAGTTTTAAACTTAATATTAATAATGGATTTAATAATTGGCCCTTAAAAATTTTAAATTAATAATATTAGTTTATTAAAAGAAATTATGGAAAGTCGGAGATTTTCTCCTGGGAGCACAATCAGTGGTATATTTGATCCAAATCTTAAAGTAAGTTTTTTATAGATATGTGTGAATATACATATGTACATACGAGTATGTAATATAATAATCATATAATATAAAAATTTTGCTTTTACTTAAATCTACGTACATACATACACATGTACTTATATTGGTAAGTATTATAATTAATCAAATTTCGATAAAGTCAGAGCCGAATCAAAACCTATTTTTCAAAATGCCAGTACGTATGTATGTATCTACTTGTTCACCGTTTTAAATATTTTCGCCATTTTGAATTATTTTCATATGTTTTTTTTTGTTTTGAAATCGCAAAAGTTTTAAAAAATTTTTAAATTTACCTAACTTATGTTCTTATATTAAATTTTACATACATACATATTTAAGCTTTTATTAATGTGAATTGTTTCCATAGACTCCTGATCCATTCCAATTTGTTTATATAAGCCATCCATTCGGAGCACCACAATTAACTCCAAGTACACCAAGTGATTTTTATGAAAGCAGTTTTGAAATCATGGAATATACTAATTCACCACCAATTTTATCACGACAAGGATCTCGAATGAATTTTCATTATAATTTAATGAATGAATTACCCAAATGTCGTCCAGATGTAGATATCTTATACAATAGACCAACGGAATTTTATGATATTAAAACTACATTTTATCCTTCACCAATTTCAAATTCACCACCATCTGATTATCATCATCATCATCATCATCATCAATTCGATCAACATCGTTTTCCAGTGAATAACTTAAGAAATTGTGAAAAAGATTTACATTTTAATAATCCAAAAAGTTATTTGCAACGACATATTATATCGCAAGACGATGTCAGATTAAAAACACCACCTCCACCACCAACTAGAGCACAATATCCAAGCTCTTATAATTGTTATGGTATGAATTTGTTAATAATTGAACGATTTATTTTATGTTTATAAAATAATAAATATTCACTTAATGTAGATGAAAGAACAGTTCCAGAGTTAAAGTTCATCTTCGAAACCTTAAGAAATGTATGGAAAACTCCAGTTCCTTTAGCAAAAACTCGCGAGAAGTAATTTTTTATTATTATAAATTAAATGAATTTTTTTAAATAAAATTTTTTATTATTATTTGACAGTAAATGCAGAAAATTTTGTTGTCAGAATCTTCCTCATAAAAGAAATGGTTTGAAGAATAATGATGTAAGAGCAGGAGAAAATATTACTCCTACAACAAGATCTAATCTTATGAGACGATTTTCATTACCGGAAATTGAAATCCGAAAGTATGTAAATATGCTTTTTTAATATTTGATTAATTTTTAATAAATTTCAAAACCTCTAAATTGCACTTATCTATTCTATCCAGATTTGGAATTATGGAAGAATTGGATTCAATATTTCGTTTTACTGAACAGTTAAGACAAAATTTAAAAAAAAAAGTATCATCTAATCAATCCAAAAAAATGAATACAATAAAAATGGTTGAAAAATCTTCTCAAACCAATCCAGTAATTATCACTGAAAGCTTTGATCATTCAATTGCAGTACCTATTAGCGAAACACATTGCAAACCAAATTATAATTTATTGCCCATAATTAAATTTGCTGACACTGGTCCTACATATATAGATTTGATAAATAATAGACGTGATGTTCGTCCAAAACTTTTGAAGAAACCAGAAACTATGCCCGAAAAGAGTAATGATATATTTAAATTAAATAGTGATACTTATCAAGTATGCAAAGATTCTTTAGAAATGGCGGAACGTTCGGATTTCTGCAGAAAGCAATCTTCCGTGAAACAACCATTAATAAAAGACGACCAGCAAAAATTGTGTATTGCTAAAAACCTTCCCCAGAAGGAAAATACAAGAGAAGATTCATGTAAAAGAAGGCTCGCCTTTGCTAAAAAATCCAAGCCTGAAAGTTCATTAGATTCTGATATTTATGTTTCTGAACTTCTCATAAGAAACTTGAATGAAGAAATGCACATAGCAAATATTTTAACAAAAGTCTTAGCTGAACAAAGGGACGAAAAACTTAAAGTAAACTATCCTGACCCGATAAAGACTCCTAAAATAGAAATATCAACAGTTTATGTTTCACCTGAAAAAATTAATGAAATTGTTGGTAAAAATGCAAGCTTTGAAAAGTCAGACAAAACTTTTAAACAAACATTACAATTACCAGATCTATGTTTGTTAGATACTTTTGAAAAACTACCGCCTCTAGGAGAGAAATATAAGCCGATGTTAAAAGATAATAGTAAAGATAATTCACATGATGAAAAAGAAAAATCATCAACTACGATTTCAACCACGAACACAAAATCTAATAGCGAATCTGGAAAAAATATTTCTCAAATATCTTCAATATCATTAAATGATACTTTCGATACACCAACCTTTCCAAAAAGCTCTGAAGAAAGCCCAATTGATAGTTTGGAATTAAATAAAGTGGAAAAACAAAGTTCAAATTCAAACGATAAAACTACATCAAAAGCAGGAAGCAAAACTGAAATTACTCGAAAACTTCAAAATGTTGCGGAAATTCAACCTATTAAGCCTTTAAAAGAGGAAAAAGTAACAAAACAAAAACCGTCATCAAACCAACATTCAAATGTATCCCAATCAGAAAAGCAAATATTTTTGCCCCATCATCGGAAAAAATTAAATCGTCCAAAAATACATGATAAAGACATTATTGACTCATTAGAGCAATACACCATTGATTCTAAAGGAAATCCCAACTATCAAAAACCACCCACTATAGTGAAAAGTCAACGTAGAAGTCGGGCTAGTAACAATGGAAATCTATCATCGGCTATAAATAGTCGCTATTTACGTGTAAGTGCTTCAAGTACAACCTCACGCCATTCAAATAATCCAACTGATAAATTAAAAAAAGTTACAATATTTGAAGCTCAATCTAATATGGTTACACCTGACAATGATATGGGCCCAAAACGATTTTATCAGAAGACTGAAATATTTGATGGTGACAAAAAAATTGATATTTTGGAAATTGTCGAATGTTTACAATCCCCTTTTCTAAACGATCATAAAACACCAGGAGATTTTTATACAAAATTTTCCAAAATACCAATACCAATAAAAAGATGTTGTCGACCGTTTCCAGTGCAATCATCTTTAAATCCGTGTAATTTGCCATTTAAGTGCTGTTCTTCAAATATAATTAGACCTCAAATAATGGAAAACAATGCTACTCAATTTAAAAATATAAAATCTTTTGAAGATTCAAGGCAAGATGATTGCTTTTTTCGAAATTGTATAATAAAGGAATCTCTTGATCAATGCGAACATTTTGATTTAAAAACACAAGACAAAATTACAACATTTCTAAATAAAAAAGATAACACGACAAGAAAAACCGGCAACGCTGACGAATCTGAAAAAATCAACTCTACAGAAAAATTTAAAGAA